AAACTATTGACGACGAAGTTGACGGTGCCAATGCTGTTTCTGATGATGCTATTTGTGACGGTGAGGCTGAAGATAATTTTTGTACCGATGATGATATTGATGACGATGATGTTGGGGACAGTTTTTCTGTTGTCACTAATAATGCTAATGACGATGATGGTGTTATGAATGTTGCTACTCTTGATGCCACTGATGCTATTGACGACAGTGCTTTAAGTGACAACGTTGAAGCTGGTGAAACTATTGACGACGAACTTGTCGGTGCCAATGCTGTTTCTGTTGATGCTACTTGTGACGGTGAGGCTGAAGATATATTTTCTACAAATAATAATAGTGATGACGCTGATTTTGGAGAAAGTTTTTCTGCTGCCACTGATAATGCTAATGACGATAATGGTCTTAGTAATGTTGCTACTCTTGATGCCACTGATGCTATTGACGACAATGGTTTAAGGGACAACGTTGGAGCTGGTGAAACTATTGATGACGAAGTTGACGGTGCCAATGCTGTTTCTGATGATAATATTTGTGACGGTAACGCTGAAGATAACTTTTGTGCAGATGATAATATTGATGACGATGATGTTGGAGACAGTTTTTCTGTTGCCACTGATAATGCTAATGAGGATGATGGTGTTATTAATGTTGCTACTCTTGATGCCACCGATGCTATTGACGACAATGCTTTAAGGGACAACGTTGGAGCTGGTGAAACTATTGAGGACGAGGTTGTCGGTGCCAATGCTGTTTCAGTTGATATCATTTGTGACGGTGAGGCTGAAGACAAGTTTTGTACCGATGATAATATTGATGAAGATGATGTTGGAGACAGTTTTTCTGTTGCCACTGATAATGCTAATAACGATGATGGTGTTATTAATGTTGCTACTCTTAATGCCACTGATGCTATAGACGACAATGCTTTAAGGGACAACGTTGGAGCTGGTGAAACTATTGACGACGAGTTTGTCGGTGCCAATGCTGTTTCAGATGATACCATTTGTGACGGTGAGGCTGAAGATAAATTTTTTACCGATGATAATATTGGTGACGATGATGTTGGAGACAGTTTTTCTGTTGTCACTGATAATGCTAATGACGATGATGGTGTTATTAATGTTGCTTCTCCTGATGCCACTGATGCTATTGACGACAATGGTTTAAGTGACAACGTTGGAGCTGGTGGAACTATTGACGTCGAAGTTGACGGTGCTATCGCTGTTTGTGAGAATACTATTTGTGACGATGATGCTGAAGATAATTTTTGTACCGATGATGATATTGATGACGATGATGTTGGGGACAGTTTTTCTGTTGTCACTAATAATGCTAATGACGATGATGGTGTTATTAATGTTGCTTGAGNGATGATGGTGTTATTAATGTTGCTACTCTTGATGCCCCTGATGCTATTGACGACAATGCTTTATGGGACAACGTTGGAGCTGGTGAAACTATTGAAGACGAGGTTGTCGGTGCCAATGCTGTTTCAGATGATACCATTTGTGACGGTGAGGCTGAAGATAATTTTTGTACCGATGATAATATTGATGACGATGATGTTGGAGACAGTTTTTCTGTTGTCACTGATAATGCTAATGACGATAATGGTTTTATTAATGTTGCTACTCTTGATGCCATTGACGACAATGGTTTAAGTGACAACGTTAGAGTAGGTGAAACTATTGACGACGAAGTTGACGGTGCCAATGCTGTTTCTGATGATGCTATTTGTGACGGTGAGGTTGAAGATAATTTTTGTACCGATGATGATATTGATGACGATGATGTTGGGGACAGTTTTTCTGTTGTCACTAATAATGCTAATGACGATGATGGTGCTATGAATGTTGCTACTCTTGATGCCACTGATGCTATTGACGACAGTGCTTTAAGTGACAACGTTTTAGCTGGTGAAACTATTGACGACGAACTTGTCGGTGCCAATGCTGTTTCTGATGATGCTACTTGTGACGGTGAGGCTGAAAATAATTTTTGTACAGATGATAATAGTGATGACGATGATTTTGGAGAAAGTTTTTCTGTTCCCATTGATAATGCTAATGAGGGTGATGGTGTTATTAATGTTGCTACTCTTGATGCCACTGATGCTATTGACGACAGTGGTCTAAGCGACAACGTTGGAGCTGGTGAAACTGTTGACGACGAAGTTGTCGGTGCCAATGCTGTTTCTGATGATGCTACTTGTGACGGTGAGGCTGAAGATAATCTTTCTACAAAGGATGATAGTGATGACGATGATTTTGGAGAAAGTTTTTCTGTTCCCATTGATAATGCTAATGACGATAATGGTTTTATGAATGTTGCTACTCTTGATGCCACTGATGCTATTGACGACAATGGTTTGAGTGACAACGTTGGAGCTGCTGAAACTATTGACGATGAAGTTGACGGTGCCAATGCTGTTTCTGATGATAATATTTGTGACGGTGAGGCTGAAGATAACTTTTGTACAGATGATAATATTGATGACGATGATGATGGAGACAGTTTTTCTGTTGCCACTGATAATGCTAATGAGGATGATGGTGTTATTAATGTTGCTACTCTTGATGCCCCTGATGCTATTGACGACAATGCTTTATGGGACAACGTTGGAGCTGGTGAAACTATTGAAGACGAGGTTGTCGGTGCCAATGCTGTTTCTGATGATGCTACTTGTGACGGTGAGGCTGAAGATAATTTTTGTACCGATGATAATAGTGATGACGATGATTTTCGAGAAAGTTTTTCTGCTGCCGCTGATAATGCTAATGACGATAATGGTCTTATCAATGTTGCTACTCCTGATGCCACTGATGCTATTGACGACAATGCTTTAGGTGACAACGTTGGAGCTGGTGAAACTATTGAAGACGAGGTTGTCAGTGCCAATGCTGTTTCTGATGATACCATTTGTGACGGTGAGGCTGAAGATAATTTTTGTACCGATGATAATATTGATGACGATGATGTTGGAGACAGTTTTTCTGTTGTCACTGATAATGCTAATGACGATGATGGTGTTATTAATGTTGCTTCTCTTGATGCCACTGATGCTATTGAGGACAATGCTTTAAGTGACAACGTTAGAGCTGGTGGAACTATTGACGACGAGGTTGTCGGTGCTATCGCTGTTTGTGATAATACTATTTGTGACGATGATGCTGAAGATAATTTTTGTACAGATGATAATATTGATGACGATGAT